AAACTAAATAATTTAATCATTCGAATTCACAATAGTCGTGTTTTTTGCGATGCCTTGTGGTGGACAATGAAGCGCAATTGAGATATTAATATTTGGGAAATGAACAATGATATAGAGTAGAGTGAAAACGATGCTTTCGCTGACGTTTTTCCAGATGATGCTTTGCTCTTGTGGATTGTACCGATACATGTTGGTGGTACAGAACGGACTATTAGACTTCCCAGAAAACCCAGTCAGAAGATCGAATAACAATTTGTTTATGGTAATTAATGGGTCACTGAACCCAATTTTAATAAGCCATTGACGAATCCGGTACATACTTTGTATTTTGGAAGTAAAAAATTAATTATACGTGCTTCAACTTTAAATGGAAATATTATGGTGGTCCAAAAATGTAGCAATACTCATAGCCAGGCACAGGTACCCGCAATAAATGTACGGAAATATCCGTGTTGAATATACACTCACATGATTGAGTGAAATGCATTGTAGTTTTTTTCACTGTTTCGTGGTTTATTGATAGGTATGACAATGTTAACAGATATTCAATTTGAACACAATATATTCAGTGAACAACTGCACGTTATGTTAAAATGTACGTTGTTTGTAAATGTCAGGATATATATAGTTATTTTTTTATCTTCTTAAATATTGTATACTGCTGACAATAACAGTCACAGTGATTACAATTGTTTACAGTTTTCTCGTACTGAAATGTACGTTACCGGTATAGCAAACCGAAAGATAAAATAGCGATATTATCTTTTTTAAGCCTACTGTCACCTGCCATTTATTGAAAGCATTTATTTTAACAGCTACTCTGAATAATGCTGATTTGGTTTGAGCTGTGAAACATTCTTGTAATTATAACAATTTGTGTGTTATGGTGCTTGTCATTTTCATAAAACTAGTGCTTACCGATTTATGTCTGGGTTTTTTTCAGATGAGAAAGCTGTTATTACAAAATCTACTAAGTCGCTATAAAACGCTTATATATGATGCATATAGTTTGCCGATTTACCTGAAATGTTGTACATTAAATATGTCAAATATTTAATATTCTACTCAAGATAATAAATTGTGACCAATTCTAATGAACGTTCAAAAAAGTACACGTTTTACACTTCACTGTCAAATGATTTTACAGTCTTATAATATAGATAACTCGATTCAATTTAGTATATTGTAGTACTTGCTGTGCTGTGCTGTGTTCCAACAAAATAAATATATACGAAATTATTGTGAAAATGTTTGCAAATCACACAGAATGCATATCAACTGTGTGAAAGCGCACAATGAAATATAACTTGATACAGAGTTACAAAAATATTCGCCAAATATGTTGGTTATGTTTACATTGTTATAGATCTCATTGTGTTTTTCTGATATAATGATAAAAATGATTTTATAGGGTTTATCGGTTTTAGTTATATGACTAATTGTTTTGTTTGTTTCACACATTGTACTGGTCCCCTGCACAGTGTATCACACATATTGTAGCTGTCAATTTTGTCGTTGTGTTTTGTAGTTGACATTACCATGTCAGGTGGTCGGCATTTGCGCATGCGTATTGCACACATCACTCTACGCTTAAAATAGTCTGTTCACGAATGAATCCTATAAATAGTGAGCATTTTCATAATCAACACAACATTTTCCTGACCTGCTGGCGAGCATTACTCTACATGTGAGTATGTTGTATGTAATGCGTTTACCGATTGCAAACTGTGATGTGTTTATTTGGTTATATTTTGTAGATATACATTTGTTCTCATTTTCTCCATTATAAAAAAAACCTTGTCATTGTTGGTTTCTGCATTCCTTTGAATAAGTTAATACATTAGTTGGACTAAGTTGAAATGATGATATCATATGGGATGCTATGGTGTGATTGTTTTTCAGTCTAAATTCTATTCACTTCTTACAACCTGCTAGTAATGTGCAAGGTAATGGATATTTAAATTGGTTTACATCGGTGGAAACGTATGCAATTATGAGACTCTCCTTGTAATTTTTACATGATATGTGCCCGACATAGTCAATATGATATTGTTCGTGTCTTGTATTTTATAGTTGACTATACGTGTGATTTCTTAGGAATATTTATTATGACATTATGCTAATTTGATTTATTTTATTATGACATATTTTCATTTCACCAATGATTTCATTGCAAAAATATTTTCAAAAGTAATTATGTTAATTTGATTTATTTTAAATTGCAGTTTTATTAGTCATTAAATGTCGTTGTATGTGTATTGGGGGAATCTATCCACGTGATTTATATTTTTTGGGCTGCAAACCAGCGTGACCATCGTAGTGTTTAAATTAGTTATAATGTAATAGTGTCTTTGTTTTGTTTAAAATTGTAACAAGATTCGCTTTTGCATCGTGTAGACTTGGTAACCAGTTATTGATTGTGATGGCAAAGATTGAAACAATGTATTCCTTACTGTTATCACTAGTGGTATTTGCGTATGGTGCACATGCGGTGAGTAATAAACATGTCATTTTCGGATATGTTTATTTATATAAATGCATGCATGCTTTCAGCAATATACAAAACAATACGTCATGGTTTATACGAGGTAATTTTAGGCAACACACCAAGCAAAGCATGCGTTGCCCCACGGCTTGATTCGTCCATCACCACAGTTAGTTGCCTTTTGTACCCTTCATTTTCGTTCCGTTGTCTCATGCGTAACTCGGGGTGCTATTTTCATATTTCTTCTTTTTTTCTTTATTTATCTCTTATTTTCTTTTTAATCAAAGGGGTTGGATGTTATTTAAATTTGTTGATGAATGTTTTTACGAGGCTTGTATTCTAATGTATTGATGTAATTGATAAAATCAACGTTATTAATCAATTAAGGCATTTTCGCAAATATTGTTGGCAGATTGCTAAAATGTATTGGGATGATTTGATTCTGAGACAAACTATGATTTTGAGACAATTAATTGTTTGGCCATTACATTTTTGCAGTTCTGAATGCTGGATTGTGTTACATGGCATGTTATTATTAATGAGAATTATGTATTAATGTATTAATGTATTTGTTTATATTTTTATTTTCTATCCCAATATGACGCCTTTCAATATTCCAATAAAAATCACGTTACAAATTCTGCGTCACAATAGTACATCATCATCAATCATATGTGTATCAAAATGTAACCATATGTACTTGTTATTTCAGAATGAAAGGTTAGTGGATTCAGATGGTAATTTCGAGTATGATATAAAACTAACACCGGCACAGCTTGCCATGATAGAAGAAGATATAACAGCCCAGAGCAGTGGCGTAGAAGCTAGAAAGGCTCATGGTCATATTGCGGCACGTTGGCCAGGTGGCGTTATTCCCTATGATATTTCGTCTTCAAGTAAGGACAATGTACATTTATTCTACTCTTGACAAATCAGTGTTTAACACTATCATCTTTTGGGAAAGCATACCCTGTCCTGAAATGTTTTCATCACTTTTAAGTTAAGCGTAGTTAGGTTTCAGTGCTTACTTTGTTCAGATGCTTTTTAAATTACTTCAATGCATGTAATAACAAGGTCTCGGTAATCATGTCATATAGCTTTTGCAGCTTCTTTATATTGTAATATTACACTATTTAATACAATTTATTGTTTATATTGTAATATGCCAAAAGTACGCCATTTTAATACGATCTATTGTTTATATTGTAATATCCTAAAATTACACTATTTTAATACGATCTATTGTTTATTTGTAGTATCCCAACATTACGCTATTTTAATACAATCTATTGTTTATATTGTAATATCTCAAAATTACGCCATTTTAATACGATTCATTGTTTATATATCCTAAAATTATGCTATTTTAATGCGATATATTGTTTATATTGTGATACCCCCAAAATTACGCTATATTAATACGATCTATTGTTTATATTGTAATATCTCAAAATTACGCTATTTTAATACGATCTATTGTTTATATTGTAATGACCCCAAAATTACGCTATTTTAATACAATCTATCGTTTATATTGTATTATGCCAAAATTACGCTATTTTAATACAATCTATCGTTTATATTGTAATATCCCAAAATTAGGCTATTTTAATACGATCTATTGTTTATATTGTAATATGCCAAAATTATGCTATTTTAATACAATCTATTGTTTATATTGTAATATCTCAAAATTATGCTATTTTAATACAATCTATTGTTTATATTGTAATATCCCAAAATTATGCTATTTTAATACGATCTATTGTTTATATTGTAATATCTCAAAATTATGCTATGTTAATACAGTCTATTGTTTATATTGTAATATCCCCAAAATTACGCTATATTAATACGATCTATTGTTTATATTGTAATATCTCAAAATAACGTTATTTTAATACAATCTATTGTTTATATTGTAATATC